ACCGGATTTTTTAGCCCCAAAACCATAATTTTACGCACTATATATGCTCAAAAATGTTGGCCGTTTAGGTTTTCAACATCGTTGGTCATCATGGTAAAGTTTGTTTTGCTATACAAAATACTTTATTTTTCTTCATTGTTAAAATCGACTTTATTTGGGATTGTTATCAGTCGATTTAATCTTGAATTCAACCTTAATTTGTAGTTCTGGAAGTTTTATTTTCATCTCCTGACATTTGCGTGGTCAGCGACCCTTAATACATGATTATGATTAAATTACGTGATCGAATTAAATGCTAGACTGATTGATGCATGAGGTATTAACTCTCTCTCTAATTGATGTATATCTATAAAAAGAGGAGTATTCTGTTCACTATGCCGAAAGGAGAGGACTATTCTATCAAAGAAAAGCAAATCTTTTTTCGTGTGATCGACTTCGTCGAAAAAGAGATGGCGAGCATGGTCATTCCTCTACATAGTACAAGCTCTCGACTATCTGCCATGTTGGGCATCAGCGAACGCTCATTGTCCAGACTCAAGAAAGAAATTGCGGACCAGCGGCAGAAGGCCCAAGAACTGGTGCGTTGTCGCCGTCGAACAATGTCCACCACCGACACAGTAAACGTTCATCGCAAACGTTCATCAAACATAACATTAAATATGACGTCAAACTAAAGAAGATTGAATTGCTCGAAATCGCATTTGCACATGTTCCTCCAAAATGCTATAAAACGAATGCGGCGTCTAATGTTTTCAACGTTGAGATCGTTGGTCTTCCAATAAAACACTGCGTTCTCAACCCGATCGAACTGGCTTGGACACAGCTAAAAGCTTATGTTCGTTCTCATAACACTAATTTTCGTCTCAACGATATTCGTCCCTTGTGCGAAGAAAACATTGCTGCTCTGGAAGATGAAAACAGTCGCCGATTTATTGATCAAGCCCAAAAGGTAGAAAAATAATGTCGTCTTGCTGATGACTTTGTGGAAAACGATATCGAGCCACGTTTAATTAGCGAAGACGAGGATGATGACTCTGTAGTCGATGACAATTCAGATAATGAAGAAGAAAATGACTTTTGAATCGACGTTTGTACAATTTTTCTCTGAATAAAGATTACTTAGTTTATATCGCAATTCGAAATCATGTATTAAAGTTCGCTGACCACGCAAATGTCAGGAGATGAAAATAAAACTTCCAGGACCACAAATTAAGGTTAAATTCAAGATTAAATCGACTGATAACAATCCCAAATAAAGTATTTTGTATAGCAAAACAAACTTTACCATGATGACCAACGATGTTGAAAACCTAAACGGCCAACATTTTTGAGCATATATAGTGCGTAAAATTATGGTTTTGGGGCTAAAAATCCGGTTTTTCAGAGGTTTCAGTGCGCGATCTGTAGTGTTTGAATAAAACGTCGGAGAAATCTGGGAGTTACGTAGAATTGTAGATAAAAGGTCTGGGTATCGAATCCACTCGTTGGAATCAAAAATTCATTAAGCCTTCTACTTTTGGTAAGATGGTTTTCCAAAGATCTTCCTGCAGATCCCCTTAAGATCCATTTGTAAAGTTTTGTTTTCATATATGGTTATGTCCCCTACTGTTGACTACATGATAGCGAAAACCCGACCTCGATAGCTGTCTGTGTTCTCGAGTTATTCAGCTCGCAATCACTTGCCTTCTATTTTGAAAGGACCGTAGTTACTGCGATTAGACTCACGATCTCATTTCATCTCATCTCATAAGCCTTACTGGTCTTTCGGTAGACACTGAAATCTAAAAGCAACTCTAAGACTTGATTCTTTTCTTTCCTCCGCTTGAAAATTTTCGGTGGGTCTAGTTTTTCGTATAGTCGTGGTTCGAAAAAGACTTTTACAGTTTCTTCCACTTTCGTTCAACTCTGTATGTAAAAGGTTAGTAAACGTATAAGAATCTGTGTTCGAATCTCATTCATCTCTCTCGCTTCCAGGGAACAGATAAATATACTACAGTGTGAATGTACCGAACATTAGGCGGCACGCGGTCTCCAGGACTGAATATGAACGTTTTAAACAATGTGTGAAAGTTAAAACGAAACATTTTTTGCGTTTTCCATTCAGAAGTTATTCAGTATCCCAAAAGGGATCTTTTATTTTTTAAATGGACTTCAATGTTAATGTGCATAAAAATGTATCAGCGAATTATTGTGAAAGGTTTTTGTATAAAATATTGGTATTTTTAGATATTATAGATATTATTATGGATAGTTATTTAGAAAGGCCAAATTTTTAGGCTGCAAACTTCTAGACACTCGAACACAAATTCAGTTGATATATTAGTTTTAAAACAATAGTTTTTCAACATACAGGCGCTAAATTCTTCGTACTACTTGAGCTATTGCTCTTAGATGACAAGTAAAAATGGCGTTATCATTTCACAGCTGTGTGTCTATTTCAAAAGAAACAATAATAAAAAAAGTTACCATAATCATAAGTGGAATGGATTTTATAACCGGAACATTGCGTGTACCAGCTTTGTGCAATGGCTATACAAGTCACTTATCACATCGATACTACATTTAACAACAGTGAATTGATACAACATGAAAAACTGAACGTATAATGGTATCTACTACTAACTTGAGGCAATTATCATTTAATAAATAAACAGTTTCAAGCACATGTACAATCTCTACGGATTAGCCAATGAATAAATTTCTGCTGCAGATAGTTCACGTCTATATCCATAAAATTCATCAAATGATCCTTGAAATCCAGTTGAATAAAATATATAATTATTTTGATAACCAAATGAATAACCAAGTGTGATGTACATGACCGTATTAGCAAGATAATATGATGTTATTGTTCCTGTAGATCCCTGCGATACTCCGTTGACGTATAATGTTAATCCATTGGTAGTGCTAAGAGTATATGCAATATGTGTCCATACATTTAGTGATATAAACGGTCCAATAACTGCTGGATAACCATTTAATGGCGTATATGAATAAATTTGAGCAACGATTTGTCCGCTCAACGTTAAGCCAAGCAGTTCTTGTTGGTTGGAATAACCATATTGTGTTGAAGATATATGTAGTAATATCCCACTGTTGATCGACGTTGGGTTTATCCACATGGCAAACGTGAGCGGTTTGTTCGTGGGATAACCCGTATATGGATAACCGAGTGTTTGAAAATACGATGATGTTGTTGTTATTCGTATACCCTGATTTACTTTACCTGATACGGATGTTAAACTTACCACATTTGAACTATTCAACCGATTTGGTCCTTGGTCGTAATAAACTGATGGTTGATCAAATGAGAAATACCAGATTTGTGTTGCATCATTCAACAGTTCTGTTGCACTTTTTGCACGTGTTGTTAAAGCAACATTATCAATGTAACCATAGAAATATGTTTGTGATGTAATCAGAAGTGAATAGCCAATTGTGATAGAGCCATTATTACCGAGATAGGGTGTTGTGCTTGAACGTACAGCATCTTGAATGCCGTCAATATAAATAATTTGTTGAAATGTTTGATAATTATAAACAAATGCTACATGATACCATGTGGATGCTGATAATGTAGTTGTACCAAGTAAATCGTTGTAATTGAAACCCATATATAATTTGCTACTTCGTACGATTAAAAACAAACATTGATTAGTGGAAGTGGTAGATGTACATTGCCCAAATATTGGCTGATCTCCTGAGATACTGTTCAGATAAATATATGCTTCAAATGTGAAACTTATAGAGTTTAAATTAAAGTACAGTGACGCAGGTACTTGCATATAACTGTTCGATGAAGACATGGTAAACATTTGACCAGTACCGAAGAATGTATTGCCAACACTACCGTATGAGGCGCTGCCAACTAATGAACCACTATAATTTCCATAAAGATCATTTGCATTCCCATCGAATGACCAATAGGCGGAAATTACTGTTGAGGCTGTTGAAGTCACTGTTGTTGATACGCCTAAATTTTGAGAAAATGCGTAAAAGTTATCAAGTTGTTAAACCGAGATAAAGAAAACGTTTATTAATCAGTAAGCAAGCAGTATAAATATACAATCATAATTTTGTATTCTTAAATAATTTTCAGTTTTGGATACCTTTACGACTGAATGTCACGGCTATTGGAATTATAATTACAAGTAGGATGATTACTGATGCACTGATAACGGCAATTAGCAGAAATTTATTTGTCATCCACTGTGGGCGATTAAAACTAAACCTAACAAATTAATGAAACAGCTGTAACAAATTATTTCTTCACAATATATATTATACTCACTTGTGTTTACTTGGAATAACATTAACATTAGTTTGAGTTACTGTGGGAGATACCGCTCGTTCCTAAAAAGTAATAAGTTAACCAATTGATTCGTCTGATCAGTTTGTATGAGATAAAATGTTCACATAAGATACGTGTCTAAACTATGCTACTTACATTGGCAGTCGTTTTCTGAATAACTGTCGTGGTGTTGTCGGAAAGAAATGACGTTGGTGGCTGCTTTTTCGGAGCTGTGTATGGAATCCGAGGCATTGTCTAAAACTAATCGTTAAATCAGTGATTACTTGCAACTGTTTTGTGATAGTGATAGATTTTGATACAATCTCAAACATGGAAATAAAATTGGATCCTGATAGCTAGACTACTGAAATAACATTAATGTGTCATGAAAAATGGCACAGGAATAGAATGGATCAAACAAACCATGTGCACATAAAAAGCAAAATTAATAATCAACAACTTCTTACATTAACAATTCGTTCTTATAATTTCATTACTTCAGAAATATTTCTCTCTTAGGGTTGTTCGGTTGTTTTTCTTTCTTTACCTTGTTTTAAACTGATTGCACAAAAGAATGATAAGGTGTTTGTTTCGAATGGGATTTTTTTTCAATTGGATTAAACAACTGAAAAGTGCTTAAAAACTATGAGCTAAGCTACCTGAAAACAATGAAAAAAAGTGCTGTAATTAACCGAGCAAAAGCATATGTGAAGCAATTTTGATTCAGAGAACATGTTTATTTCACAAACACAATATGAAAACATAGTTTTACAGTCCGAGTCAAATCTAAGTCCGCTAAGCTGTACGTCGGATGTCAGCCCAAGCATATATTGTTTTTTCTATTTCCGTTCTTTTTCTTCTGTTTTGTAGCAAGTTACTGTTTCTCTACATGGCTATAGTAACAAAAAACGAAAACAACAAATTTTTTGCCAATGCTAAAAAACTGGAGCAGGATAGAACTTTTTGTTGTCACTTGTTACATAAAATAAAAAGAAAAGCTTTATTCATCAGCGAAAGGTTACATTTGAACTGAAAAGAACTGGCACAACTATGAAAAAAACCAGTCGAAGTCTCTGATGCCTTCAGTCCCAATCCATATGAAAAAGCTTATCAGTCCGGACTTGGACTTTCCCATTTCTGCAGTTTCTTATTCCTATCGACATCAGAGATCGAAGCGGATGAACGACTGCACATGACCTAAACCCAATCCGAAAATCGAAAAATTCTTCCAATGTTTTCGACAAAATTTCAATTTTCCAGGACAATCTCACTGGTGAAAGAGAAATATCAGCTATAATGAAAATAGGATATTATTATGTATTCATTATCTCCCGCCCATAAAGAAAACGACTGAATTGTTTTAACAGCAGCTGGACGAAGAAAGAAAAGTGTGCATCTCGACTAGGAATCGAATCCAAGACAGTGATATTCATAACCATTGCTCTGAAGGAAGAAAAGTACGCATCTAAGACTGTATCTCGATAGCTCGACCGTTAGAGCAATGGTCATGAATACCACTGTCCTGGGTTCGATTCCCAGTCGAGACTCATACTTTTCTTACTTCGTCCAGCTGCTGTTAAGTCGTTTTCAAATTAAAGTATAAGATAAAAGTTTAAACCATTTTCTTTTCCAGTTTTTCCTCTTCAGTGGAAAACATTTAAAGAGATTCATAATGTGATATAACTAGCCTACATACAAAGCTGGAAGATCCATATAATCGAAACTTTGCTGAACGCGAACTAAACCTTTAAATTTCAAAACATTTTTCTTCCAGCCGACAAAAGTTTAAACCTTTTTTCTTAATTTGACTTTTCTCCCTCTTAAACGGCTGTTAAGAAACATTAAATTCGTATGGATCGATAGCAGATTTTACGGGCTATATTTTTGTAATAAAGTCTTATTGAAAGACAGCAATTCTGAACTCAAATTTTGGGTTTTATCCACATTGGCTTAAAAACCTCGAAAAATTAAAATTTTTTCATAGTAAACGTCGACCAAAAACGTTTTCGAATACACTGTCCGAAAGGGCATGAAAAACTGAACCAAAAGTCATTTCAGAATTCTGGTAAAATAAAGTCTAACAGGGTTCTCAAAAAATAGAAAAAGTGCGCCGAATTTTGAATTTCAGAAGTATTACCTAGAAAAACAAAATTCTTAAAGTACCTTGGTTTTATAAAGAACAAAGTTCTGTATAAAAAGACACCTCTTTCAACCTCGCAACCTTGTACAACTTCTCGTTCGACCGACTGAAAGTTTTCACGCTGTAAAAAGCGCCATCTGATGAATGCATCATAAAATCAGAAATTTTCAACCATTCGAACGAGAAATCGTACAAGGTTGAGAGAGGTGTGAATGTTTCCACTGAAGAGGAATAACTGGAAAAAAAATGATTTAAACTTTTGGCGTACACTTTTAGCTGATACACAAAATGTCATGCCCATAAAGAAACAAAAAAAAGGAAAATGGAATGCAAGTGCTCTCCTCTCTGCAGAATGAGAGAAGGTCAAAAGTTCGTTCAAAAACATTGAAAATATTTGTTCTACAGGGTGTTACATAACCTTTTTCTCCCCCCCTACACAACCTAAAGGACAGATAATATCAGAAAGTATTTATACCAGGTTAAAGCCCATCAAAAACTAGATTTATGAGTGTAATTGATATTCCGTATGAT